CAGGACTGTCAGTATCAGGTATGCCGGGATATATTTGCTGAACAATCATTTGCTTCCTTGTTAGTCCTCCTTATATGATTTGCTAATTTTGGGTTAAACTTGATGTACATATCGACCCTTATATGATTTCAAAATGGAGATATGTAGCATAGGAAGTGGTGTATTTGTTCAAAAGTTGCGATTTTTATTCCATTAGATATTAGGCGACTGATCAAGATTGAGACTTGGTATGGTGCCGCAAATGAATCCATCAAAAAATTTCTTACTTTTTGCGGTAGAATTTGTAGAGATCTAATTTTTTGGGGATTAAACTATGCATGCTACAACTTATCCAGATATACTATCTCACGCTACAACTACAGTTATGTTATCCAGGTATACTATCTCATGCTACAACTTATCTATTTTGATCGCAATATTCTAGTTATATCATAACAATATGCATGTTGTTCATGTTAAGTAATATTCTCTTTATTTGCCTTCATCAGGTGCTGCAACTGAAAGCTTTCAATAAATTTGAGAACACATAGGAAGCTTTATCTGCAGCAACTTTGCTGATTGATAGTAAGCCGAGCAAGGGTCTTTGCAAGTTCTTGTGAACTCATTGTGAAGGCGAAACATTAGTTGTGGCTGATTCCAGACTTGGAAATGCTATAAAAGAAAAACTGGTAATCCTTGGCGAAACATTAGCTATGGCTAATTCCAGACTTGCTCACAAATTAATACACTGTACAGTTGTTAGATGGTTGAGTCCTGGTGCATGGCTAGATAGACTGAAATGAGACCAGACAATTTATTAGTATTGATCATATTACTTGTTAGACATATGACTTGCAAATGTATCGCAATCTATTAGTATTATGATAGCATCTTTTATATTGGGAAGCAAAGTTAGCTGAGTTTGGATCAAACTATGCGTTTTTGTTCTTTATTGTAAATATATATGTTACACAGAGCCTAATATATTATGCATTACATCTGTATATTTGCCAATAGAATTCTTCTGACTCATTTGTTGAATAAGAATTCTATTTCTAGTTTCTAATTCTCGAAGGAATCTATTTGAGAAAAAAAACTAAGAAATTTTGCACAAAAACCCTCAAAAGGTTGTAACCCCCCCCCCCAAAAAAAAAGTATGCAAAGAACTCCCTAAAAAATTTGTAAAAAGCCCTTAAAAGTTTGCAAAAAGCCCTCAATAGTTTACAAAAAACTCCCTAGAATTTTATAAAAAAAACACCCCAAAAGTATTATATAAATAACTATTATAGTTAAATGGGCAAAATGGGCGGCCCGTTTATTAAATGGGCGGGCAAAAACCCGCCCATTTAGAAAATGTTAAATGGGCTATAAATGGGTAAATGGGCAAAACATGCCCGCCCATTTATGGCCCGTCCATTTAATACCCAAACCCACCCATTTAACACCCCTAATCTGATATTTAAAACATTGATAATTACATAAAACCCCTGAACTTTGGGGGTGTTGCAAATAACCCATAAACTATTTTAATTAGAGAAAACCACCCTGAACTTTGGGGTGTTATAGATGACCCCCTTGAACTTTATTTTATTCTAAAGCCCTCTAATTTGGAGTGTCTCATAAAGCACCCCTCCTCCGTCCCAAACTCCAAACTTTTCTCACTGGGCCCTACATAATTGGCAAATCACATACTCTTTTTAAAGTGTGAGTTTGGGTAAATCTTTTCATGGTCAGTATTATCTTTGACCCTTTTAAATATTACATTCTAATCCTATCCTACTTAATATGTTTACCCTATCTTTAAATAATGTTGAATATTGATATTCTAATTAATATATTTAAGTAGTATAATCCTATGCTAATCAATTACCGTATCTTTAAATAGTTAACCTTTTATTATTTTCAAAACATAGAGGGGTTTATTGTTATATTACATTGAAGGATATCATGTAATCGATTATCCATAAACTATTATAAATATCTAACTAAAGTAAAAAAAACTGAACCCAAAAGAAACAATTAAGATATTTACCATGTGCTTTGCACGTGCATTCCACCTAATAACTAAAATGTACTTAGGGGGGAAAACTCAAGTGGGAGAGAGGGCTTTTATTGCTGTAAATGGCGAGTGACTAAATTCGGGCATTTTCTCACTCAATAAGTAAGAACATTTTAGTTTCCGATTACAAGGGGCTCCAGTAAGAAAAGTTGAAGGTTCAAGGGGTTTTGGGAGACCCCCCAAAAGTTTAGGTGGGAGTAGTGGAATAAAAAAGTTCAAGGTGGTTATCTAAAACACCCCTAAAGTTCAGGAGGTTTTCTCAAATAAATAGTTGAGGGGGGTTATCTGCATTCTGCAAGACCCGGCAAAAGTTCAGACATGGTTTACTCATATGGATCTACAGCTCACATATTTTTTTACATCACATAGAAAATGTGAACCATGATTCGCAACTTCCTATTCTTGGATAAATCCCTTATATGCCTTAGATGCATTACACTTACAGATTATAAGACACACTAAAAGGGTATCTAATAAGTATATCCATGAAGTACTTGAGTATCCAAGTATCAGTTATGTATGAGATATGGGTATATGAGTACATCTCTAGTTAAGTAGTAAAAACAGATCATAAGCTTTCTAGAAGTCAATTGAAACTGCTATGTTTACTTCTTTGTTTCTCCTTATATCATTCATGAACCCCAATAATGCTCCAAATAATGATTACATCTCATAAAGAAAACAATATAAGAAGGTAATGGCAGAAGATATGTTACCTATGAAACAAAAGCAGCAAAACCAGAAATATAAAGCAGAATGCCAATGCAGTCAGAAAAAGTACAGTAAAGAAAACTTCCCACCTGCACACAACATCCATTGCCCAAATAATAAATCAGAATGCATTCCATATATATATATATAATATATATATATATATATATATATATATATATATATAATATTATATATATATATATATATATATATATATATATATATATATTAATATATATATTATAATATATATATGAGATTAATGTGTTATCCTTGACAAGGAGGGGGACTCCTCCTTGACAATGATGTGGCACAATCCCCACCATGTGAAATTCTCATGCTACTTTATTCTCTCTCCTTCCTATGGTGGAGATTGTGTCACATCATTGTCAAGGAGGAAAATCCCCTCCTTGTCAAGGATACCCATTAATCTCCTTCAAATAGTTTATGTGTTCAAATGGGAGACCACATTTCACATGGGTTGAGAAGTGCATGGGGATATGCAACCATTTGAATGAGTAAAGGCATTATGCCACCTCACTACAAGCATCACTTTTTGTGCCTTGGTACAAAGCATACCCATTTTTCTCATATATATATATATATATATATATATATATATATATATATATATATATATATATATATATATATATATATATATATATATATATATATATATATATATAATATATATATTATATTATATATAATATATATTATATATCATAATGTAACGTTATGCAGTTTGTATCAAGGATTAAAGTTTCTCCCATACCATTCTTTCACATCTTTTGATCTCAAGAAGGTGATGTACAATATGCCAGTCCAGACACATAGAATCGTTTCTTCAAATATGTACCACCTACAGCACAAAATATACTAAAAAAATCAAATACAAGTTACAGCAACTATAGATAAAGAAAATACTTATGAAAGAAAAAAGATACAAATATTGCAGTATGAAGATTCTTTAACTGAGATGTAAACCTACAAGGCTGGCAAACTCATAAAGAGCTAGAAGTACCAGTTTAGTTAGAGAAAGATAAAATAATTCAAGAAAACCTCAAACATAAAATAAGGAACCTGCACTGCAGGATTAGATACAGCAAAGAAGGTTCATGTTATAAAGGCACCCATGAGAGATGGTTTCAAGCACATGACAACTAATGCTTCACAATTCGGGAAGGAGATCCACTTGCCTGTTGAGAGGCAATAAATGCTTTCAGTTATTGCTATAAAGAAGATCGGTTTTCTTTACAAGAACAACACTAGAAGCTTGTTTAGTTACCTGAGGGAAAAATATTTTATGTTTAAAAGGAAAGTGTGGAGTACAAAGTAATTATCTCTGGTGGCCAAGCACACTTCTATATTACCTTTCTGGCATTGGTGGCACTGCATGAATTAGAGTTGAGCAACTATTGTCAAGATAGTTTTCTTTTCTTACACAACTTGTAGGACAAATATATGCAACAACCTAAGGGGCTTGATCTTGGGAATAAAGAAATGTAAGTTGAAGAAATCACTAAATGAATAGTAGCTGCCTCCTACAAAATGATACGAGTAAGTATACAGATGGGGATATATAATTAAGTATGTGTGCTCAATATGTTTATTACAGATTTCTCCCATGTGGCCCATTGATTTTTTGACTGTTATAGGTTGATGAATGTTGCGATGAAGTATATGTTCAAGGTCAAGAAGCTAATATTAGTTTAATATGAAAAACTTGGAGTAAGCTAAGAAAATTCTACTTACAGAAATTTTTGGAGAGAAGTTGCAACTGTCACAAAGGAATTACACAGAGAAGGTTGGTATGGAGAATACAAAACCAGTATCCACTAGTTTTATAAAAACTTTAAGCTGTGATATTTAGCATGGATGACAAGCGTATAAAAATTGGAAGCATCATAACATGACGGTATGTACTCACCATAATCTTAACGTAATAGACATCTTTTTATCCACCATTTTATTGATATTTGGAAGTATCAAATAGCCATGCAAAAGCATTGTTCACGTCTGGATTATCTTAATGGCAAAAGAAAGAAACCCTTTATAGTCCAATCATCATCGTGTACCAGGTTGATTTTCTTCTTTCCTTGTGTTGGTCAGGCACAGAGGACTGTTATGCGGATTAGGATGCATATCTCAAACAAAACTAAACTCTAGTCCAGAAGACTTATTGCAATGGTCTTTTCATTTAGCCAGCAGTAACTTAGAAGATAATAGATTACTCCAGAGTTCACATCAACTCACCAGAAGCGACAATGGTTCCCTCTGCCAATGCATGTTCCTAGCCAAACGCAATGATGATCAAACTGAAGGACGCATTTATCACAATCATGGCAATGCTTCGATCGTGGAGGCTGCAAAATAGCTGCATTATGAACCTAAATTTTGATTGTACAATGAGCCTAAAATAATAATACTGAAGTACTAGATATACATATTAGACACCAAAAATCAGCTGTATACCAGCAAAATACAGGCGAAGGGAAAAATCATTGCAAATTGGCATGGTTGTTGAACTTGGACATGAGAAATCAATCATAAAAGGCAACCAAAAACATCTTGAAAGACGCATATTAGAATCACTGGAAAAGGTGCAAAACTATGAGATTTTTTCTATCAACTGTAACAAGTAACAACAAAGCCCATAATCTTGTTGTCCACTGCAATAGTTACCCAACATAAGCATCATTTATAACTTGTAAGAGAACCAAGTAGACCAAGAAAGCAATTTCAATTATGGAAAACTAGCATGCTACTTGATTCCAGACTTACATGGGAAGAAAGCACCTCAGTAGCACTAACAATATCGTTGAAACTCCTAGCATGCTCTAGACTGTGTTACATGGGAAGAAAGCACCTCAGTAGCACTAACAATATCGTTGAAACTCCTAGCATGCTCTAGACTGTGTATGGTTTGCAGGAGACTCGAATCAAGCACTAACAATATCGTTGAAACTCCTAGCATGCTCTAGACTGTGTATGGTTTGCAGGAGACTCGAATCATTATGTTATCATTTCTACTCATGGAGGAACAATGCGTTCATCTTTATGTAATGCTAAATCCCAATAGTCACAACCTATAGCTAAATTTGCATCAAGCTGATTCCTTGTTGTTATCGGCAATGCATTGATACTTGAAAGTCACACCCTAATCACTCTACAAAATCTGTACTTCTGTGGTCTTCCTGCTTTGAGGCAATAGGAAAGATGCACCCAATAGGAAAGATGCACCCATCAAAAGGTTCATTCCAAGTTTTAAAAGTGGTCAGAGAAGAAACCTGACAAAAGTAGTAAGTTGCACAATATTTACTGCAGAGCAGAGCAGATTGAATTCTAATATATAATGGAGATTATGGTTCCTGGTCAAACAACATAGAATATAATCGTCTATGCTTTTGCCCCTGAGCATTTTGATCGGTGCAACAGTAAAAATGATCATCAATCACTTCCTGCTGCATCAGTTACAAATTCTCACTCACAATCGAGGTAACATTGAAATGTGATATACAATATTATTCACCACCTTTATCATACAAAATATTCAATAACTGTTCTTCACGTTTAAAATTCTAAGTAACCAATTAAACATAAGTCAATGTTATCTATATTATAAATATTTTACAAAATTTTGTATCTGTTATGCATGATAATGTCCAGGATATATGGCAATGGCATATATGCAGAAAGTCAACCATTAACACAAAGTACAGAACAAGAAGTACAAAATCGAATGATTTTTACCTGAATAATGTTACAATACATGCAGGTCCAACTTCTGCAATAACAAAGATGACAGCATATTAGAAAATAAATGCTATCTATGTAATGACTTGATAACGCAACTGAGATGGTAAAAACATAGGTTCATAACAATTCTACATTGCAAAAATACACAAGAAACAAAGATAAGGTCCTGTTTACAGGGAAAAATTGATTGGAGACGACTAAATAAACTAACAGTTACAAAAAAGTTAATATAATCACAAACAATTCTCAAATTATGTATAAACATTCACCATACTTTTGTTCATAACTTGACTACTACCTAAGTAATTATGGATCCATTATTGGTCTTAGATAGTGATTGTGTTCCATGCACAACTTAGATTATACTGTCACATGACTTTGTTTAATGACCTGTCTTGTGATATCCAAATTTAATCCAGTGAAAAGTCAATCTTGAGTAGAAAATCTGTTAGAATAAATCAAGAGTGAAAGTGATTGGATAGAAAACGGTTGCCTATAGTAGAGAATCCATTCATCGTCGCTCTCATCAAACCGAAGTAGATATTCAAATATTGTAAGAACTGCCCCAATCTCACCAAATTTGATTCACCAGGTTGTTTTTTTTACCTTCATGTACTTCACAATGGTCTTTGCCTATTAGCAGTTTTTTCTTTATCCCTACAAATTTGTTTTTATATACTGATAAAATGCACTACCTTGAGATGTTCATTCAAATTTCTTTTACAATAATTTGTATTTCAGCAATGCTGCACTTTCTTGATCCTATTGCTGTCACATAATCAAGAAACTGATTTTGATACTTTTATACAATGTCCATGATCCGCTATGTGATGCATGAGTTGTGAATTCATAAGAAAGGAACCGTCTCACCGTCCGCCTAAGCTAAACAGGATAGACTTAAAACATGATAGACTCAGGCCATTCAAAACCTAGAGATAACATACTCTGCAAGGACCAAGTTCCAAGTTAAAGCAGGCAATCGATCTATCACTCTATCTCAAATACCAACCCAACCTCATTGTATACTACGTTAGAATCTATTTGTCTTGTACCTTCTCACTTGACAGCAAATAATTATATTATTCTTCTACTGCCTGTTGTCACATTTGAAGTAAATCAGAGCAATCCAGTTCCCCGGGATATTAAGCTTACGTAAAATCATAATATAATTTGGATACCATTAATGTCAATTCCTTATTTTTCTTTAACTACTGATAGGAAACAAAGTATTGATTCACATAGCAATCAAAACAAAACTGCCAGGATTTTTGACATCCCATCTAATATTTGATGGATCAGTACTCTGACTAGGCTTCTACAATCACTGGATCAGGCTTCTATTTTATATCATACCATCAAATATCTATCTATAAGGAAACCCGGGAAAGATGTTACAATCCACAATTAAAATCACCATCTGGTGTGTTAACCCCAGTTAAGATTCAAATGACAATCTTAATCCTAACAAATTTGTTCAGTTCTAAGTAGATGAAAATATTCCATATTCTTTATAGTACAAAAATTGAACTGTATTAACGCGCGTAGCCTGAATGTACAGCACTACTCTAACGTATCCAGGTTTGGGATCCATAAATTATGTATATCATTTGTTACGTGTAATAACTATGCAACTTAAATGACTTTGACTCTCCATGGAGAACATTTCAGTTGAGACATTAAAAAATTACATATTTACTGTTATAATAGAATAGTAGTAACTTCTAAATTTTATTTTCATATCATCTTCACAATTGTACATACAAAAACTGCCATTGGCTAATTTCCATCTCCATCGCTAATGTGCATTTCAAGTTTATAGAAGTCACATGTCTATACTCTACATATTAGTGCTGTATGTCAACTGCAGGCACAAAAGTACTAAAACTGGAAGCAGAAAGCATAAGATTGAACATTCAAAACTCTTATGATTGTGGTGTTCTTATTGTTGCACAGTTAACCTCAAGAATGATTTCAGTCACCTCCAAATTGTTGCTGACCTGAATTCTCTCTTCACGATAGTCAAAACCGTAAAAGAAAGATGCATCTACCTGCTTGAGGATCCAGGAGGATATAAGTCCATCACCAGCTTCAACCACGATGAAGAACTTGAACGACTATTTCTTCCTAACAGGTTGCTATTAGTGGAAGAACTCAAGTTCCCATTTCTTGAAGCAGATTGCCTTTGCTTGATCATAAAAAATTACACGTGTTAGGTGCAGAAATTGTCTTAAGGGTCCCCACAAAAAATATTATGAAATTGCAAAGGACAGGAAAGAGAAAAATGACTCTAGTGATCCTAAATTAACTTACATTGAAGCCTTTGAAATATTTATAACCGTAGCATGGGTCCCATGCTCAGCTTTCATAGCATCAATAACATAGCTGAGTTAAGAATGAGATAGTGTAGAAATGAGAAGATGCTAGTTATGGGAAACACTGAGTTAAAGAGAAGAAGTTAATTACCCTGGAGATGAGCCGGATGTGAAAAAATATTGAACTAGTGTAGCTGCAAACAGTATTAAGTATACTACAGTGTACCTGTAGATTAAAGAAAATATAGTACAAAAACATGAACAAAAAGGAGAAAAAATAATATAAAACAATAGTGGATAAAATATAAGTATGAAAGCAACAGATTACAATATACATAGAGCAGAAATCAATTCAAACTACAGTTTTATAACTTGAATAAAAATATTTAATTATTCCTATAATACCATTACTGCAAAACTGGAAAACAATTTTAGGCACGACATCACCTGTCTAGAACTGGAAATTAAAATTCTTTGGAACTAAACCAGCTTCCTGGTTTTCTGCATTGAATGGCTTCATCGTGTATGGTTTCAAGCTATGAAGCACCAACACTCCAAAACAAGCCCCGAGTCCGTCTCCGACGCACGTCGGACGTGGACACGCGTTCGACACGCGTTCGACACGCGTCAGACACGCGGTCAACGCCACCGACACAGGTCAACGCCCCGACTAGCGGCCGACACGCTCTCGACACGGATGAATTGTTCCCAACACGGCTGGGAGGCGAAAAAAAAGAGAACCCGAAACCCAAACCCTAGTTTTCACTCACCCGATCAGCTCGTCCTCTCTCTCTCTCTCTCTCTCTCTCTCTCTCTCTCTCTCTCTCTCGATCCCGACACGGCTGAAGCCCTCTCTCCCTCGATCTCTCGCCGGCTAGGTCAGCCTCTCCCTCGATCTCTCTCTCTCTCTGATTCTTCATCTCTCTCTCTCCCTCGATCTCTCGATCTCTCTCTCAGTCTCGATCTCTCTCTCTCCGATCTCTTCCTCTCTCTCTCTCTCTCTGATTCTCTCTCCCTCTTTCTCAATCTCTGATTCTCTCTCTGTTTTGTGTACGACAGCTGGCGTGACTTCTGTGCAGCCATGTGCGGTGCTTCTGGAATCACGTGGGAGAGAGTGGGGCTGTTGAGATATTTGTTTATTATATTCTAAATATTGAGATTTAGGGGGGAGAAAAGGAATATAAATTAGTTTGATTGAGCTTGTTTGTTTATTATATTCTAAATATTGAGATTTAGGGGGGAGAAAAGGAATATAAATTAGTTTGATTGAGCTTGTTGGGGTTAGCTTTTAGAAATGCTTAGTTTGATTGAGCTTGTTGGGGTTAGCTTTTAGAAATGCGAGGTCATGGGTGGTCGGATGCAGCGAAGAAGTTTGTTTTGATGTTTCGGGGACCGGGACACGTGTCCGTCACTAGTCTTTTGAATGAGAGAATTCAGAGAATGCGATCTGTACGAATTTTAAACGTGTTAGTACCTTACTATTTTGTGTTTGAGGATTAAATTTTAGTTTGTTGTTTGAATTTTATAAATTTATCTATATATAATAATAATATTAAAATAATCTAGTCGTGTCGCCGAGTCCTTTTTTTTGGGTTTTGCCGAGTCCGTGTCCGTGTCGTGTCCGTGTCGACGTGTCCGTGCTTCATTGGTTTCAAGGCATGCTCATGACTGAGAACCAATCCCTTCACATCTCTAAGATGTGGTTTTCGTTCTAACATAACTTACCTTATGAACTATTTGCTTCCACTAGAAGGAACAGGTGTGATAAAGCTGCATATTGTGTCAAAGTAATGTGTGGTAAAAAATTGAGAAATGAGTCATCCAATATCATTTGAGAGCCTCTGTACAAATTTTCATTTCATTAGTTGCTTTAGTACTTTTACTAAATGCGTGATTAGATTAAAAGCCACCTGAATGTTCACAGTCTTCATAAAATCATATACTGAGAAAATCAGAAAGGAGCTTGAAGATTTTGAAATCCACCATCGGGGTCTCAAACATCACAAAAAAGGCTTTTGCACCACTAAAAAGATCCTAGTTCGTTAGAATTTCAATTGAAATGAGTAACATTTTTTTAGCTAGCATAATAAGCTGGAAGCCTGCTAATAAAGCTGAACATTTTGATTGAGGATGTTTTATGAAATTATAGGAGAGTTTATATGGGGAACTAATTTTTGACTTCCGTGTGATTATAGGACTCTTCATCTGATGAAAAAAATTTTAAGATGGCTATAGATCCTCGTTTATGAATCAAAAACTTGGACAACGGGTAACATGGCATGCTTATCTCTGGAAATGAGAATATTAAGATGGATGGCTTGCAGAAAGCTAAAAGATATAGAAACAAATAAGCACTCTTGTACACAGCTAGCTTTAAGTGTAACCTAGGTTATGTAAGGCCACACCATTTGAGAATCACAAAGGTTTCCCCAAGTTGCAACAGAGGCAAAAGAGTGAAAGGTCTAAATTTAGAGTGCTATGCAAGGAGGTGTAGACTAAATAATTACTTGTACAGCAAAATATGATTTTGGCAGTTGGTGATGACCGAGGAGATATTCCTTCATGGTCATGAAAGGGGGAAAATCAATTTACATAGCCATTCCAGAAATTTTTTCTTAAAGGTCTATGTTGTTATTGGATGAAACGTTGTTGTCATTTGTTACAGCAATCAAGCAGTTAGGTAATTCAAGAACAGATGCAAAATTATAGTTATCATCATTAACTGTATTAAAGAGTTGAAGGATTTAGCAATTACAAGCCCCTTACATACAATCTTAACAGACATCCTATTTGAGTAAAAAAGATCGATTTTTATGCACAATTGCGAGCGTTCATAATAAAAACTTAGTACTTTGTTGATTATCGGATAGGAAAGGAGTATCAGTCATTAAGACCATGATCCTAACCATGACTAATAGAATCCAAGAGATTCTCTTACTTCTACATGGTCCACTTCAATATTGAATCAACCAATTACTAAACTTGAACTGGAATTTTGCACAAGGAAAGCTTTACCCTAACCCCTATAATAATATCATACTATACTGGAATTCCAAGATAATCCATGAAAAGGTAGTACTTATCCTGAGGAGTGAATACTTGCGAAGACGACTGTATTGGAATTTCAAGATAACACAGACCCATTTCAGAGTTCAATAAATAATCTCAAAAGAGCACAAATTTCGTCAGCATTTATATCCAATTTGTTTAAATAAAAAAAAGAGTATGCTAATTGTCATTCAAATAATCTAATTTCTAATTCAAATCACTACATTCTCTTCCTTACATTTCACGTTGACTTCTTATATAAAGAGAACAGCTCGAACCAATTAAAATCCAACTAGTACTAAAGGTAGAAGAAAAAGTACCAGGGCTCTTTTTTAGTTCTCCGTATCAAATCCGAATCCAAGAGAAACACAGAGCCCACGAGGATCACATGAAGAAGAATCAGTAACACTTTCACACCAAGCTTAGATCTTTTCCCTAAAATAACAAAAATAATTACGAAAAAGGGACAGTCAGACAAAATCGGACCAAAATGAGATCAAACAATCTAGAAAAAGAAATTAGGGCACCGGAATCAGAGAGGCAGGGGATGAGGCGATAGAAGCGATCGGCGATCTCATCGCAGGCGTATCGAACGGGAGCGCATGAGGTGACGGTCGTCATCGGGATTTAGGCAGCAGAGAGCGAGAGAGAGAAGAAAGAAAGGAAATTTTCCGCTTGGTTCTCGGGTGAGCGGAGACAAATGCTCACCGGGGACGGTTAGTGTACCGTTGGGGAGAGAGGAGCGACCGAGTCGGCTGTTTGGTTTAGAATGGGGGAAAAGGGACAGTTAGCTGTTGTTTTTATGCCACGTGTACTTTAGGAATGACAAATGATCAACTTCCTGATTTTTGTGAGATACATGCTCATCCTAAACCTTGGCTGCAAAACTGCGACCCTATATAAATAGGTATGTGGCTCTTCATATTCCTTACCATTAATTATTCTTTTTCTTTTGTATATGCATTCTTCCTTCTCTAGATTTTCTCATCTAAACGCATATAAAACTTTCAATTTTTCTGACTGTGATTGTATCGCCAATGATTGTGTAATACTTAGTTTGGTGCACGGCATGATTAAAAAAAAAAAAAAAACTAGCTATGTAGCATGTTAGGCTGCAAATTGTATTAATTGTGGATGTAGATATACACATGCATGTTTGAATGCGAACTAACTCATAACATATACATTTGAGAACATAAAACGGGGTACAGATTCCTTCAACTATCAATTTATATGAAGATAAAGAGATTCCTTGGGAAATTAAGGATGGAGGCGCCGGTGCTTCCTATGTGATCCGTGATTGGAATTTGTATACTTCCCGGTGCAGGAACGAGTGTTCTTAATGGAAAATAATATTTTACATGTGAAGATTATTCCGGGAAGGGCCAAAAGCCATTCCTAGGCTCCGTGTTGGTGGCAACCTATAGATTGAAGGGGATGTGATGTATGTTACTGTCACGACCCCAAATTTCCGAACCTAAAAGGAATATTGGAGCCGGATATAATGGTATCAGAGCTAGGTTTCGATCATGGGACCTATGGGTTATGGGCCCATAGCTAGTCCCAGGATCGAAACCTGGCTCTGATACCATTCTGTCATGCTCAAATATTCCTTTTAGGTTCAGAAATTTTGTTTGAATAGCTTAATATGGGTTAATTTTCATTAGGAGACTTGTATTGATGATTATTTTATATGTACTCTTTAGAAGTTTCAAGTGATTTCGAGGAGGTGTCATGAGTTGCATTCTAATAGCTTTCCGTATTTGTGGTAAGTGGTGAATTTGTACATTATTCGTTGCGTATTTTTCGTATAAAATTATATTGACTATATGTAAGTTTGTTTCTGATGGATTATATATACCCTTTGTATGGTTGCTTGCATACTAATTGTTTACTAGTATTTAAACCCGTGCAAAGCACGGTTTCTAAAAGATTTTTTGTTTATTCTCTTGCATTTTTTGACAAAAAATCATTCCACAACAACATGTAGATGTTCATGATGCTAGAGAGGAACCCAAAGAGCCATATCTAAACTTCTTCAGATGTTTGTTGTCATGTGTAAAACTTAAGTTATTAATGACAGTGTTAAATTTGCTAAAAAAATTTAGAAAGAAGGAATAGTGTAACAAATAACCCAAAGGATTCGATAATGCAAAATATATATATATATGAATAGAATTCGATCATCAAGTCAAACCAAGAAATATATACTAAATTGAAGAAATGATTGCACACATTGGAAACAATTTCTAAGAGATGAATGTCTTTGCTGCAATGCATGTCCTAAATAATATCTAACAAAAGATAAAATATGCTGAGTAAAAGAAGGGGAACCACAATGAGTGCTTAATATTATTCATACGTAAGATATTGATAGAATTTGTAAATAAAAACCAAAATGGTTATCTAAACTAAACAATCAATGCCTTGTATTGGTTAAAAAGTTTGTGTCCAAACTACATATATCATTCTAAAATAATAGAAAGGCGCTTGAAAGGAACTTATGCCTTGATTAAAAAAAATGCCGCAACAATATCTGAACATGCAAAAGATCAAAGCTTTAGTTTATTGCATGCAACACTCTTAGTTTAGACAAAAATCCAAATGAAATAATAGTGGACCGAATTTAATCTCCACTTAGTGCTACATCATCCATGTAATATGAATGACATCAGAATCCCACGTAAAAAGATCCTGCTGCATCCTGCAATGTAACTTGAGAATTATGTTCAATATTCTCAACTTTCAAGTCAAACCAAAACCCAAAGCATGAAAATCTAATACAAACTATGAACGATCAAATCCATATCAAATCTACATTTGCAATATTATTTGGAACGACAAAAATAATAGAAAAATGATAATAAGCAAACAACGTCAACAAAAGGAAACATAGAAAGGGGGTTGTGTTGAGAAAGAGTTCAAAATGAGAGAGATGGCAAGAGAGACCTTGAAACTTCTTATAGGGTATTTCTCCCTGATCCTCGCAAATTCTTACATCCTCCTTTGTGCAAATTAAAATCAAATGATCCGCCGCCTTCGATCTCGCGCTGGATCGAAGATGATGCCGGAGCTTGGATCCCGAGGAAACCGCTGAAAAAATCATCAAAAAAATCAGAGAAAATAGAATAATACTACTATTTAAAAAACGTTGAAGTTAAATTTTAGTGGAAACATCCGTCGAGCAAAAAATGACTATTGAAACAAATCACAGAACAATAATTTAAAGTATTAATACTTCATTCTTTTCATTGTTTATTAACCAAGTAATATTTCTGAATTTTGAGGCAAAAGCACGGGACTTTACTTTAGGTGTAAGTACAATGGATGTAGAATTTACCTCTCTAAATAGTTAACTGTGCTTGAGGAAACTCATCACTGCATCATATACATCCTTTTCAATGATCTTAAAAGAAAAACCATCTGGGACAGGGCTCGTCTTAGGATTAATCTGAAACAGAGCTTCTTTGATCTCCTGGATAGTAATAATTTTGCATAACTGAATGCAATTATCTTCAGAAAATTTACCCCTCTCTCATAGGCTTTAGGATCAACAATCTGGACATTAGTAGAATCCGCAAGCATATTCTTATAAAAGCTAATTAATTCATTCTTCACATCTTCCTTATATCGGTAACCTTAACTCCCTCTCTCTTATAAAGAGCAACAATTTATTGTTATGCATCCTCTGTTTGATGGATGCATGAAAGTATGAAGTATTTGCATCACCCTCATTTTTCTACTTTACCTTTGCTTTTTGCTTCAAAATGTCTATTGAAACAAATCACAGAACAATCATCAAAAGTATTAATACTTCATTCTTTTTGCTGTTTATTCACCAAGTAATACCATGTTCAAATAATTTCTTATTACCTTGAGTTCGGAACGGACGGCCGATTTTATTTTTGTATACTTTGATTTACTCCATTTTTTTACCCAATTCAGTTATATATTTCTCTAAAAGTTTGCACGTATAAATATAGAGCGTCTGAATTTTAAAATCAATTTGATAGATCAATCTAGCCATCCATTCCGAACTCAACTGATCCGACTCACTACAGTCATGGTAATTCATGATCAGGCTGAATTAAGAAATAGAAAGTTGCGATTGCATTCGGGTTATGATTTCTGCAGATGAGTTGAGATCATGGTTGGCTTTCACTAAGCCAATCTAATCCACTTAATAATGAAAATCTGTTAACCTGAATACAGACTTTTATCTTAGGTATTAATCTGGTTCTGAATCAACTTGTATATTAAGCTACAATTTTATAAACTTCAATCATTCAGTAATGCATTTATCCATTTTATCGAACAATCACCGGACATCTGCAGTTTGCATGGGCAATGAAAAAATTGATAAAATTTGTGTATATGACCTCAAAGTAATGGACAAGATGAACATATACATAAGAATTTGATCCTTAGCAAATAAATAAGCATCCGGCGAGCAATGAATTTCAATCACACACTGTTCCCAGATTGGGGATGGTTTCCTGTACAGGCTTCTCTTGGAAGGTATTGATTGGTAAAAGTATGAACTGAACAAAACTGACTATTGAGCAGAAGTAGGACTGCTCGAACAAATTTCTCTTTTATGGAGCATTAACATCTTTGCCTCTGGGTTGCATAACCCTGGAAAAAGGAAAAGTCAATTTGAAGAACGATGATAACGCCATACATTATGTAAAAGGAGAGCTTCCAAGAAATCAGAGTTATGTATGTCAAAAGCATAGTTCAATAGAATTCAACATTTGCTGCACGTATAATAATTACTAAATTATCAAGATTCTTCTCATGAATGTTTTGTTTCTACTACTATTGTTATTATCCTCCGAGTGCTTATGATATGTGCCGAAAAAAGAAAAAAGAAAAGATACCTGATACGTGTTAGATTGAACTAAACTATTTACATAAATTGCATGATCATTTAGCTATTTCCAATAAATATCCATTAGCTCAGTAGAGTGATTGAAATTCTCTTATTCCAGATGCCTTGGATTTTACTAAAAGTACATCAAAGAAAACACTGTTCTAATATTATTCCAGATGCCTTGGATTTTACTAAAAGTACATCAAAGAAAACACTGTTCTAATATGATAATATCAGAATTGTTTTTCAGAAAGGTATAACATGCGCGCTTCAACATCCATCATATTCAAAGTCATGATTTAATAAAGTATTAACTATAAAAGCTCCCTATAGGCAACATCCATCATATGTAATACTGAAGTTCAAAATAAAAAACAGAGAAAAACTGTACGAACCTGAGCACTTAGGAATGTCCCAAACAGAAATTGAAGATGTTGTACAGTCTGGAGAACAAAGTGCCCAATTATCTTCATGATTGCATTGCAAGCATCATAGCTCCAATAGTAACATCCTCATTGCTAAACATACGATTACTACAATCATAAAATTAAGATATGGTTTGTCACAGAAAAAACTACGCTTCAAAATATAATATAGGCTTAAAAATTGTAGAATATTTATGCTGAAGTTTAATTAAATAAGTAAGCTTTAGTCATCATGAGGTATATTTAGAATAAAATAACCAATACATAGAAAAACACACATGGAATTAGCAAACATAACCACATAACATATTTTAGCATGACACTTTGGTATATACTAAAACATATATTACTTAGGATATGCTTCATATTATTGCATCGTACAAAAGTATTAAAATTATGCACTATAAGCACTGCGAAGGCATAAAATTCTTACTTCTCTATCTGGCTCCATACTGCAATACAGAAGTCTATCGGGTCAGCTTCCCTTTTTTATTTGCAGACTGTTCCTCCTTAGTAGAGTGAGATTTTAGAGAGCAGAATTTCCTCCTCAACATTGTTTTAGATATGCCCTACATAACCAATATACCGGCCGATATATCTTTTTATAAGGCTTGCCGAAAAACGAGATGGACACAATATTCTTTTCTTTCCTACTTTGTAGTAATTGAGCAGTATATCATGATTTCTTGATAACAGATGACATTTCGACCTTAAAAGAAAATCGTCTAAAATGTTGTAATGTCGAGTTGGACTTTTATTTGCTTAAACATATTGGTCAAATTTATCTCATCAATTTCCAAATAAATAACAGAATTAGATATTAGATCAAAATAAGCAAACTACTCCCAAATTATTTAAGATAAATTTGACAAAAAATAAAAAATAAAATGACAAATAGGGAATGGATCACACCTTTGAGAAACTGAAGAAGATTCAGATGAATCATCGATCGCTGACGCCTTCGATCTCGCGCTGGATCGAAGAGGATATCGAACCTTGGATCCCAAGGAAACCGCTGAAAAAATCATCAAAAAATCAGAGAAAATAGAATAAAATGAACCCCGAGGCCCTCGGGAACTCCGAGGCCCCAAATGAATCCTTTTGTTCATTCGCAATACGGTAACGACCATTCTGCTTCAAAGTGACAACAAACACAAAGAATATGAAGTTTGAAAACATTAAACTCAATCTATTTAGCAACAACTGTAGGCGTCTAAAATTGTCTACGAGAGCCCACACGAAACTCGAAGCAATGAATGGGCGAGTCAAGAAGATTCGTCAAACCAACTCGTGCGCGTCGGTCAAACGCGTGCACGTCAATCAACTCGTGCGCGCCAGTCAACGCGCGCACGTCGATCAGCCCGTGCGCGTCGGTCAACGCGCGTACGTCGAATCAACTCGTACGCGCCGGTCAAACGCGTGCACGTCAACCAACTCGTGTGCGCCGGTCAACGCGCGCACGTCAACCAACTCGTGCGCGCCGGTCAACGCGCGCACGTCAAATCATTTCGTGCGCGTCGGTCAACGCGCGCACGTCAACCAACTCGTGCGCGCCAGTCAACGAGTGCACGTCAAATCACCTCGTGCGCGCCAGTCAACGCACGCACGTCAATCAGCCCGCGCGCATCGATCAGCACGCGTATGTTAACCAACGCGTGTTCGACGATTGGTCTCGCGATGAAGCATACAAGTCAACAAATCGAACGAATACGCAACAAGAACAAGTCCCGGAAGAAAGAAACCAAAAAAAAAAAAAGGAGAAAGTCGGCGAACCCGCGCTAAGCGCAGGACGGAATGATCCGACCCGCGCAAGCGCGGGACGGATCAATCCGACCCGCGCAAGCGCGGGTCGGATCAATCCGACCCGCGCAAGCCCGCGCGAGCGCGGGTCGGATTATTCCGACCCGCGCGAGCGCGGGTCAGATTGTTCTGCCGCGCAGTCTAATGTCCCAAACACGTTTTGACGGTTTTTAATTGGTTTTTTTGCAGGGTTTATCGGTTCCAGGGGTTCTTAACTGACTTGAGATCATCCTCAAACGTGGTTAGGCTGCTGTTGACTAAAGATAGAGCCAAATCCCTTGTTCTTATCCAAATAACCGCATTTTGAGGCCTATAAATATGAACCAAAGGCCTCCATTTTCTGGATCTGGAATTTTATCAAGGACGAGGTGCTGCTGGATTGGAGAGTGAAGGAGCACGAAATTTCAGCAAAGGACAGCGAGATCCCGGCGAACTTCGGAGCAAAGGAGAAGCCGTTCGAAGGATCTGAAGCTCGTACGTCCGTTCCTTGAGATTAGGCTTTGTCTTAATCTCGAGAAGAGCCCTGAAATCGCTTTGTCGATTCCAGGACTTCAAGCAAATACCCCCTTGGTGAGGTAGAAGCTCTGCCCAATTTTCTGCAACCGGATCTGATTCGAGGTCGTCCACGGATTAACCCCGGCACCGGCGAAGAACCCACGCAAGCAAGAGCCGATAAACGGATCTTGCGTTTATTTTCAAGAAAGTTGTAATCTTTTGTTCTTTTGTTATTTGAATTCATTTGTAACGCTTAAAGTTTAATGAAATCAATGACTAAGGTAACTTTCGACGGAAACAATGACTATCACAATAAAGAACTTATCTCTCTTGCTTTCGATCCAACTCTTCCAAACACCCGTTCAACCAGATTATCTCCTTGCTTGCTTCAGTCACCGCGACATACTCAACCTCGGTTGTAGACAAAGTCATAATTTTCTGCAGACGTGAGACCCAGCTCACTGTTGTCGACGTTAAGGTATAAACATACCCCGTGGTGCTTCGCCTCGTATCATGATCACCGGCGAAGTCCGCATCCACGTATCCCTGCAGCACCAACTCCTTCCTCCTGAAACATAGTGGCTTGTTCGTTGTTCCCCTCAAGTCCCGCATTATCCACTTCACGGCCTCCCAATGCTGCTTCCCTGGATTGCTTACAAATCTGCTCACAACTCCCACTGCATGGGCGATGTCCGGCCTCGTGCAAACCATCGCGTACATGAGACTCCCAATGGCCGAAGAATATGGCACCCTGCTCATATGCTCTCTATCTGCATCTGTCTTAGGCGATTGCTCCTCAGATAACTTGAACTGACTTCCAAGGGGTGTGCTAACAACTTTAGCATTCTGCATGTTGAACCTCTGAAGTACCTTCTCAATGTATTCAGCTTGGCTCAA